CTCTCTCTCTCTCTCTCTCTCTTTCTTTCTTTCTTTCTCTCCACTCAAACGTCTAATATTTAGTTTTGGCATTAATTTTATATATGATTTTAGTGTTTGTTTGCCATGTATTTTGTCCCTCAACTCTTATTTAATAATTATAAGTTATTATTATTATTTGTATATAAATATTAGACCAAATGTTTTATTTATTCAGTGAATCGTTTCTATAAGCGTTTTGAATAAGAAAAAAGAAATAAAATACTAATACTTATAAAATATTTGTTTTTTGTGCGATTAGTATTTGTTAACATAGACTTCATTCATAATTCATTGCATTATTTTTAATGTATTTTCATTTCTTTAATAAAAATAATTATATTTTTATATTATACAATTTTTACGTCAATTTTATTAAAACTCTAATTATATATTAAATAGAAAATTTCTGAAAATATAATTTAAAAGATAATTTAAATATTTGTATAGTATATAAAAATATATTTAAAATTTAATTGTAAAAGTGTATAAAATAGATGTTATGATGTATTGCAAAATAAAATGCTTTTAAATAGAGTACAGTAACTTATATAAAAAGGTTTATAAAAGCACCATGATGAATATCGAATAGTCTTGTATTTTAAAAAATTTTGATCATAAAAATGATCGTTATATGTATTTATAGCCCATGTCCACTTTTGTTTTCATATACTGTACCCTTTTAAACTCTCTCTCTCTCTCTCTCCCCTGTCTCTCTTACCACTTGATAAAATTAATAATAAATAGCAAAATAACATACAATTTATATCGCTGTCTGTATGTGTGTATAGTGTATATGTAGTGTATTCTCTCTCTCTCTCTCTCTCTCGAAACAAAATTTATTAATATTTATGACAAATATATAAAAAACATTTTTTAACAAATGGTTATTAAACCCATAAGTGATGAGTGAAAAACATGATTGAATGATAAGTATCTGAATTGTAATTTTGTGAACAAAAAGCAATGCATTAAAAAATTTTAATAACAAAAGAGTTCACTATTTTGTAAGCATTGCATAAAAAGCTTTTTTAAAAGTAATTCAAAGGAATTTTTATAAAAATATAAATTCAATAATAATATAATACATGTATAATATATTTCACAGAATTTTTATTACATATTTCATACAAATTCTGGCAATATTTGGCTTAAATTCAATGCCAGAAAAATCTCTTATTATTTTCATTCTCTACATCTATCAAAACCTAATGTTATATTATAACAAGTATTGTACACTATTTTGCATGTATTTTACGTGTAATTAGTATTTCTATTTAGTAAATACAGCCTTTCGTTTGGTATACGATTAGTGAATGCAGTAAAAAATTTCAAAAATAATATTTTCTATTAACCAAAAAATATTTGCCATTTTATTTAAATTATATATAAAAATAACATGAGATTTGAATTAATGCCTAAACAATATTTCTTATTCTTTTCATACACTTTCATACTTTTTGGTAAGTTTTTAATGTGTTTAAAAGCTTTTCATAAGTTCTTACAATGAATTCTTAAGTATGTTTTCATACATAATAAAAGAGAAACACATTAATATGGTATACGACTTATCTAATGCAATATGAAATGCCCTAGGTACATCCATTTGCCAGTACGACAGATACGGCGGATCCAATCACGATCAAAACCACGATAGGGATCGGCATCAAGACAGGGACAGGTATGATAATAAGGACAGATATAATAATCATGATAGATATGGCAGTGGTAACCAATATGGAGGCAGTGGTCAATATGGTAGCGGTGCTAGTGGTAAGTAATTAATTTAATATATTACACATATAATTCATTAAAAGCTATAATTAAAAGTTAATTAAATTGTTTAAAAGCCGAGTCGTGTATAGAAAAGGCCGGGTATTCGGTGCGGACCTGTGAGGACACACTTATTGATAGACAGCGGGAGGTTAAGGCGAAATCCACCAATGCTATGGATGTTCAACACGGGGTTTGCTGGTAAGAGCACCATGGTCACATATGAAAAATATTATTTCATAATTATTTATTTAATTTGAAAACTAAAGCAACTTTTGAATTTACTTTTTGTTTTAGTGCCTTATATTTCTATCGCGATTGTATCGGTCGAGTGGTGTCCGAGCGGTGCCGCGAGAGTTCGTCCACAATAGTGGACACAATGATGGGCCCCCGCAAGTGGGACATTACCCTCATGTGTCGCGACTATTTCCGAGACCAATGTTCGCGATCCTCTCAGTATAGATCGTCGTCTATTACTCCAGTACTCAGTATTTTAATTGTAATTATTTCATTTAAAATAATCATATTTTAATTTCATCTATATTTTAATATGTTTTATGTTAACATAATGTACTATGTTAATACTGACAGTTTTATACAGGTATTATGATGGTTTTATATTATTAATTTAAATAGTGCTTATTTATTCAACAAATTAACATTTGAATAGACTTTGTAATATTCTAACTTTGTAATACTAATATAAATTGAAATATTTCTAAATAAACTTTGTAAATTAAATTTATTATTTGTTTTGAAAGTAATTGAGTATCTAATAAAATATGTAAACTAAATATGTTAAATGTTATTTACCTCATGTTGTTTGTTTAATTCAAACTAAAACTAATATATTAAAAAGTTTTCAATTTAATTAAAAGTTACCTTTTACTATTTGATTGAATTAATTAGTTTTTTGATAGAAATATAACAAATATTTGTATCCGATTTTTAAGTTAATTCTAGCAATTCATTAAAATGCATACATTTTGTTGATTTATTTTGATATAAATTTAATTAACTCCACAAACAGTTTCTCAAAAATATTATAATTATTGATTTTTGGTATTTGATTGACGTCTAAACCAACTCTAAAACCAAAATTGAAAATTTTAATTATACATTAAATATATTTATGTCCAACTGTTTTGTAACATAACTTATATTTGTCTGAATTTTTGGAGACTATTAATATTTATGGCATTTTAAAGGTGTGTTTATGGCATCCTTTTAGGCCATAACTTACATCAATGGCTTATAATTAACTTCGGTATACTATGGCTGATGTAATAGTGATGTCTATTTGCATGCTTTATATGGTGATGATGTGACTATTGTGCTACGAGGTAACATGGTGGTCGCTTTTTCACTTAAACTAAACTATAGTTTCAATTAAATATGTTTTCACAAACTTAAAATTTTTTGGCACACTTTTATTTAGTTGTTTTTCGCCTTAAGTTTTTGTTCAAACATCACTTTTTTCGCTTAAATCCTTGCCTTAAAGTGCAATCGATTGAAACGAGAGATTCAATGATATATACAGTATTTCGAGTATATATTCAGTGATTTCTTGAGTCAATTCCCAACGACTTGACGGATGTTTGCATTGATTTTTTCTTTTTCGGTCCGAAAATTTACATGTATTTCATATGTGATAGAGATTTATATTCAGTGAAACTCAATGTGTGTCTACAAAAAGCCAACGCAAACAAAATTCAGCGAACAATTGATAATTGAATCCTTCAATTCCAGACACAAATACCAATTATATTTTATTCAAATTCACTGCTCTCTCTCTCTCTCTCTCTCTCTCTC